GAGGTAAGCCTCCTAAGGTCTAAATTACACTGCTCACTCTCTCCTGATACTACATCAAAAATTGGATAATACTAGGGGTTTCTAATTTCCATAAATGTACTTCAAATATGTTCCCTGAATACACAAACTTACATATATACCTGCCTTATTTATCATTCGGTAAGTACTAGGGTTTCTAATTTCCTTACCAAAACTTGTCCTGGATCATGTACTTGTCAATGAAATGTTTCCATGTGGCAAATTTTTGACTGAATGATTTTCCCTTGAAGGATTACATAGGAAAAATATTACCTTATACAACCTTGGTATCCATCTAAATATTGTAATTAACTAATTGTAATCAACCTAAATATACAATTATACATAGTTATGTTAAATCATAATCTTCTTCAATCTTTGTTAATCTCCATGACCTCCATTAATCTCATTGACATCCCCCTCAATTTCGTTAATCTCCATAATCTCAATTTCTAATCCTGTACATGAAACTAAAATAAAACCCATTTCTTGCCTAGTTGGTAAAGCTTTGACATACTGCAAAAAATGATTCCCGGGAAAGAGTCAAAGCTCGACCAAAAACGGAAGATGCTAACATATTCATCCCAAAAACTCCGAATACTCGCACTACACTTAATGCACCAAAGAGTCATACGTTGACAAAAATTATGTCAACCATGGATGACCACAAGAGTCACACATTGACAAAAGTTCTATCAATCGTGGACCACCACAAGAAACTTGCACTTGAAAGGCTGAGTTATAACCAAAGAAACTCGAGGATTCAGTATAAAGTCCACTATGCTATGATACCATGACACTTTTGATTGAATAATTTTCCCTTGAGGGGTTACTTACATTATATAGGAAAAATATTACCTTATAACTATGGTGTCCATTTAAATATGGTAATTGATTAATTGTAATCAACCTAAATATACAATTATATATAATTATGTTAAATTATAATCTTTTTCAATCTTCGTAATCTTCTTTAATCTCCATGATCTCTGTCAATCTCATTGACACCATGTTCGATGACTTTCTAGTAAAAGCTCAATACATCATTTTAAATCAATATTCTTTTTCTCGAGATTCTTATCACACGTAAGGCTTCTCTGGTATGAAATGTTGATTTACTTTCTTGCTTTTCTTTTTATTTTGGGTACAGGAAGCTGCAGAAAGGGAAAAGGTCATGAGTGATCCCAAGTCCATTATGCCTGCAGCGTTTGTTTCTTTCAAATCCCGATGGGGAGCAGCTGTTTGTGCTCAAACTCAACAAACTAGTAATCCGACCCTTTGGCTAACGGAATGGGCTCCTGAACCGCGGGATGTATATTGGGACAATCTTGCAATACCATTTGTTGAACTCAATGTTCGAAGATTGTTAATGACAGTTGCTCTATTCTTTCTCACGTTCTTTTTCATGCTCCCCATTGCATTTGTACAGTCCTTAGCAAGCATAGATGGCATCGAAAAAGTTCTTCCATTCCTGAAGCCATTAATAGAAGCGTAAGCTAACATCTTTGAAGAGATTCCTTTTTTTGTATACATGACCATAATGTTCTTAAATGCTGAAAATTTTCTGTCTCAGGAAAGTTATCAAGTCTATCATTCAAGGTTTTCTTCCTGGCATTGCACTGAAGATATTTCTGATTCTTCTCCCAACTATTCTGATGACAATGTCCAAGATAGAAGGTTTTATATCGCTTTCATATCTGGACAGAAAATCGGCTTCGAAGTATCATTTGTTCTTACTTGTCAATGTCTTTTTCGGAAGCATCATCACAGGAGCAGCATTTCAGCAGCTTCATAAATTTGCTAATCAGGCCCCATCAGAGTAGGGTTATCTGTTGAAACTAGCAGGCTTACTAATAATTGTTGATTGTTTAATGTCAACACCTTTCAATGTCAAGTTGACCTCCTTAACATTAAATAGATAGGCTTCACTATAGTTCTTTTTGGTTCATATAAAGCTTTTTTTTAACTCAACCGGACACCTGTTAAGCCAAATATACGACAAACTTTTTTGAAGTCATGTAAAATTTTAGATGTCAATTCAGCAACTTTTACACAAAATGGACACTCTGTAAGAGTATTATGCACCATTTTATGCCACAATGGTTCTTTTGGGTTCTAATAAAATCTGTCTCCACTAGCCGCAACGTTGAATAGTAATCTTGTACCGTCGTTTTTCTGTATCCTACCCACATATATGAAGAAGATTCTTTATTCCTTTTCAGTAGCCATTTATCCATGTTTTTTCTCTTAAAGTACATTTCATGTTACCTCTATGTTAATTCTGTAATTTATCATCCATGGATTTGCTGTAACTGATTCCAGAATTTAGAAAAACTCTGGAATTGTAAAATATCCGAAATTGAGAGCATGAACCCGTGGCCAACTCCCATCAGTGTGAAATCCTTGAGGGGAGTTTCGGGCTTTAGTTGGTATTATGGGACACTTCTTTGGTTTGATTAACATCATTGGATTCTTAAATTTCATAAAGATTATAGTTAACTTATAAGCACTTTGTGATACCTTGATTATAAACTTAATTCCTATTATCCAGAAAGCAAAATACTTTTGAATTCTTACAGTAACTGGTTCAAATTCTTGAGAATTCCTGGAAAATCTGCTGTTCTTGAGATTTCATTTCCTGTCAGAGTAGTGGACCCTCATTTGCTTAATCAAAATGTGCATTTTTTCCTCTTTCCAATGCACTTTCATTGTAAGAAGAAACGTAAAACCATCTCTCTAATGAGACTAATATTTTTGCTATTATGCTACCTTGCAGGATTCCTAAAACTGTGGGTGTTGCCATTCCTATGAAAGCCACTTTCTTTATTACATATATTATGGTTGACGGTTGGGCTGGCATTGCAGCAGAGATCCTTAGATTGGTTCCATTAATCATGTTCCACCTCAAGAATACATTCTTGGTAAAAACCGAACAGGATAGGGAGCAGGCAATGGATCCTGGTTCAATTAATTTTTCTGTATCAGAACCTCGTATACAGCTATATTTCCTACTGGGACTTGTCTACGCGCCAGTCACACCTATTCTTTTGCCTTTCATAATCATCTTCTTCACCTTTTCGTTTGTTGTTTTCCGCCATCAGGTATTGTAATCTGGAAATTATTATTGATGTGTAAGTGTTTTAAAATATGGGATTCATGTACGACCTTCCAGTTCCTATTGATCCACTCTATGACTACGAGGAAATAAGCCTCAAGAACTCGTTGACTCACACTGAATACTGGAAATTCGAACTCGATTGATTATTGAACGAACTTTTTGAGTTTTCTGAAGTCTTCTTCAATTCCCAGTATTCTTTCTTGGATCAATGCGTCTTGTTGCCTAGTGCTCATGTCCTTGTGAGTCAACAGAAAATTAGAAGGTTGCCGGTGTTTATTTGTGTGTTATCCGTTCTCACACATGCTTCCATGAACTAATTTAAATGCTTTAAATAACTAGAAGAGTCTACGATTGTATTAGAGCATGATAGGAGACCTTTTTCTATTAACTGTCTTGAAAAATTCACAGAGCACTATTTAGTGTTATTGGTAGTCGTTGGTCAAAAAGTATCTGATTTTGCAATTGGTTCTTATGACTAGATCATCAATGTGTATGACCAAAAGTACGAAAGTGGGGCAAAATTTTGGCCAGATGTTCATCGTCGTGTAATTATTGGTTTAATAATATCACAAGTTCTACTGATGGGATCATTGAGCACCAGAGATGCTCCCAAAGCAACGCCCTTGATACTCGTACTTCCTGTCTTGACCATCTGGTTTCATCAAATTTGCAAGGGGCGCTTTGAGTCTGCATTTGTGAAATTTCCACTGCAGGTAGAGTGTGATATTTTATTTCTGAATTGCTTGCTTCTAAAACTTCTCTCAGCATTTTATGTAAGCTTCACAGCCCCTACCTGTATTCAACAATTTTTTTTCAGAATTTCTTTTGAAATTTATTGGTGGAGAGAAGGTAACTAATTTAACTGCGTAAAATAATTGACTTAATAATGAGAATTATTATGTTATAATGATCATTAGACAATATTCAACTGTTAGCCTGCTTAAAACCATGTTGTTTCTTTAACTGGGGAAAGTTCATAAAATTCTCTCTTTAAAGACTATGATGATGTTGATGTTGATGTTGATGTTGATGCTGATGAGTAAATTAATTTCATTTTGGTGACCAAACAGGACGCGATGGTGAAAGACACGTTAGAAAGGGCTACAGAGCCGAAACTAAACTTGAAAGTGTACCTCCAGGATGCTTACGTGCATCCTGTCTTCAAAGGCATCGAGTTTGAGAGGCCACCAGTAATTGACGAGGAGGAGAATAACCCACTTGTCTCTACCAAGAGAAATTCCTGCAGAGGTAGTAAAACAGGTTCTATTGGCTCTCCTGATAGTGTCGTTTGTATAACCGAGTAATCCTTACGTACATTGTCCACAATAACAATGTTCATTCATTGTGATCAGAATGTCGATTTCTGGGAGATATTGTTTGATCATATTTATCTACAAATGTACGAAATTTTTGCAAGATCAGGAACTCATTGTTTGGTGTATTCATTCATAACCTGAGAATCACAGAAGCTGTAAAATGACTAGATGAAATATACTGACTTCTCATCCATGGTGTACGAACCATTTAATGTCTAAATCTAAGTCCTATTGGCATTCTTGAAAAGAGTTCCTTTTTCAACTTTTCTTGCACCACTCAATCATATTTATTTCTTCAGTCTCAGTTCTTGTTGTAAAAAGTTGTATATTTTGTCATTTTTTTGAGTTTATATGGTGAATGCGTGATCAATTCTGCGTAATTGTGGCATTGCCTAGCTTACAAACTAGTTCATCCGATTACTATAGGGACGTTGCAATGTCTCTTCGTCAACTTTTGATTCAATCTAGATGGAAGAAAAAGAAAGAACAAATTGTGTAAGATTTCAAATGGCAATCCTGGCTTGTTTTAAATCAATAGAGAACTGATCTGATAGATAACTCTTTTATGTATAGAAATTGAGTTGCCAGAGAAGATCCAGAATTAGACTATAATGAATTTATGAGAAATGCAATTTTACATTACCAGTTGACAAGAAAACAAACTACCAATTCAAATTAATTGCCAAATCGAACAGAGCTTCTACTTGGTGAATGGCTCGTTGCTTCTCCTGTTGCTTTAGCCTACTGGCCACAGATTCAGGGTCAAGACCTTGCATATTTTGTGCTTCACTTTGTTCTAACCGAACCTCTCGCAGCAATGCGTTGACTTCCCGTACAAACTCGACCCTCAAAAGAACATCGTCGGCCTCGAGGACTGGTCTCACTGGACCTTGATGCTAAAAGATTAGAAAATTAAGTTACTCATCTTGGGAAAATGGGAAAAATAGAAGAATACTGATGTTGCAAATCTTTCCCCTAAAATGAATTCAATTGTATGTTAACATCCATGTATGAGATTACACCTTATCGATGTCAAATCCTGCAGGTACGAGAATACTAAATGGATCCTCTCGTGGAAAAGTGTCGATCATACGCTTCTTACATGCCTTGAGCCATCCATCATCATCGAATCCATCGTGCAAATTCAAGAGATCATTGAGCAGTCTCATGGCTGGAGTAGCCTCCCTTTTCAAAATCTCTGTCTGTACAAAGATGATTCATTTAGAACAAAAACATACATCATTAAGTAGTAACAGACAAGACAACTTCAAACGAAAGGGCTGTCAATGTGGAGAAAAATGGAATTTTTCGGTAATTAGCACGAGTTTCGTTTGTGAAATGCAAATATTGTTATATACTAAAAAAAAGTGCAAGATATTTTCTTGGGTTCAAATTCGAAGTTGTATATCATTTCAGGCTGTTAGAAATGATATTTCTTCTGAAGGGGAATCTATATTTCTTTGGGACTGTTTATTACTTTAAACCCAAAAAAAAAGGCTTCTCTTTTCTTTAAAATTACAAATTTCCAACTCACAAACAATTGCTCTAGCCAACATCATCAGTTCGATGGCCCGGAAAAGACAGCAAAGACGCTAAACGATAGAGATGATGACAGAAGTCTACTCCAGTGTGAAGTACATGTCATTCAAAGTCCATTATAGGCTTCTTGCGGCGTAAAAATGAAAATAGAGATCTTAAAATACGACACTTCCATCTCCCAATAAACCACCACAAAGAAAAATTATCTGATGAAGCTTCAAAAATGGTGCATACCTCAACACGCCTGTACAGGAGATCAAGACTTCGAACTGCATCCTTTTCATCCTGAAAAAAGAGCAACAAAAGCTTGAGATTATCATACACACATGCACCACATGGTAATCCAGATAAAGTGATCCTAGGAATGACTTCATCTGCCTACTAGGGGACGTGGCATAAATCTGTAGTTATCAATGGCAAGCATTTTAAATTAATCAAATTTTTATTGACACCACACCTAAAAGAGATGGTCATTGCTACCTCAGAAATGTGGCGTGCTCATAACTAAGAAATGTTCAACCATAGGATCTCCGACTCAATACTAAAGGTTGGTCGAAGAGAATATTACCTATGATGCAAATAAAAGATGGTACAATTTTTCTTTCTGAATATCTAAGTAGTTATTCATTCGTTTTTTGGTAATTCAAAATATTTGGACAATATTTGTTCTTTGACAAAGTTAAGGCAGCTGTGGTGCTTCATGAAGACTGCCAAAGTGAATAAAATAACATTAGACATGAAACTCACATCTCGTCGAGCAAGATCAAGGCGATTCCATATAATCAACAGAACAAGTTCATTGAGTTCGCCTTTCTCAGCAGCTTCCTCAATTTTCTGTAGTCAAGACAGGTAACAACACTTACAACAGAAATCAATCTAAACAACACTTACAACAGAGATCAATCTCATTGAGTTATTATTAATATTATTATCGCTAGCATTTCATTTCATTCTTAATTTTTTTCATGGGTGGGTTATGGCAAAACTAAAAAGTAAGACACGAGGGAAATAATTATGCCTTTTTTTTTCTTTTTCTTTTTCTTTTACAATAATTCTAGTAATTGGCAGAGAACTTCTTATACTTGGACACATTATTTCACATTGTTTGATTGTTCGCCTCTGATTTGAATTTATATACCTTCAAACTAAGCAAAAGAAATCCCAATTTAAACATAATGTACCCAAATGTTCCGTTTACAAATATTAAAAACGACAGAAATCTGGGATGAGCAAGTTCAATGCTACAAAGAATGATTACCTCCTCCACTTCCTCAGCTGATTTAATAAAACTTGAAACCAATTTCTTGGCTTTTCGAAGCTCTTCTTCTGGATAATCTTTCAGCCGCAAGCCAATTTCACGATACTCGTCAACCTTTCTTTCCTCTTTTTCGTCCTCTTCTTGCCGCCTCCTGTGCAGTTCCTTCGTCTTTTCCCTCTGCTTGGCTTGCCATTCCTACCCTGACATAAAGGTTAGCAATAGAGAGCAAAGTATAAAAAGTACCATATTTGCAAGGAATGAGGCAGTAATTTCAGCGAAAACATAAACATACATCATCATAATATTCTTTTGGGAGACCATACAAGTCTTGCTCTTCTATCTTCTTGCTTCTATGCAGAGCTGCTAAATGACACCAAAAACCAAAAAAGAGGAAAAAAATTGTTTCTTTTGATTCTTTTGGGAAAAAAAATAACCAATTAAATTTTAAAAAAAATCCCATAAAAATGATGCGAGAGATTATACAGACTAACCTGCGCCTAGTGGAATCTTGGTCCTGAGCGGAGATGGGTTTGGAAAAGCTGTGGGATTTCTTGATAGCTTTGAAGGAGTAGTTGGTGAGAGCTGTAACGGCACAGCTGCCCATCTCACCTGCAATATTTTTGCCTCCATTTATCTTTCTTGAGGTACTAGGGGGAGTCGTCTTCTTAAACCCAGATGCTATGATAAATTGATAACTTTTCCGGTTTGCGGGTTTGGTTCGCATCAACGTAAAAAGGAGAATAAAAAATATAATCGTTACGAACTTCACACAAGATATAGAAAATTAAATATAGTGATTTAATATGATGAATGACGATCATATTTTTTATTTTAATAGACAAATAATAGAAAACAAACGAGGCTAACATATGCTTGTGTTTATGGGAATTATTTCATTACAATCCAAATGTTGACCTCCAAAAATGGCTCCAACAGGTTCCCTAGCCTTGTCCCCTCGATACCTGCGCATGTAGCACACCGTCAAGAGGCAAAGACGGCCGGACAAGAAAAATGTCCGACGACCGTTTGCACTCCGACGGTCAAGTCAACGGCTGGACGGAAATAAATATATAGAGTGCAATAATATGGAGATGGGGGTTTGGCTAGGAATGTAGAACATACCTTGATTGTGTGAGTTGAACCCATATATATAGAGAAATGGATGTGAAGCGGGCCAAACGGATTAGTGGGCCTAAGTCTGAGCCTAATACGAGGTGAGCAAAATAATAGGCGCCTCGACAGGCGATTCGGCTAGACTTCTAGGGCCTCGGCTGCGCCTCGGTTGGCCTTCTCAGAGCCTCGGCTTTGGGGCCCAACACTAATGGGCCTAGCTCGGGTCCAATAAGATGACCCAATATGGAGTGATAATTCATAGGCGTAACAGTAGTCCCCCAAGTCCGAGTCGTGTTATTTATATGCGGGTTGGACTTGAAATATAACTCTCAAGTAGGCGAGGTCTTACAGATTGCCTCAGAAAGATGTGTCAGAATAAGCGAGGACTTACGAATTGCCTCGAAAGATATACTGCGTATACTTTTTCAAAATTTCGACATCTCCTCTGTAATATGGACTAAACCAATCCTGTAATACAATACAATATATCCACAGCACATATACCAAATAAATTTGGGGTCCATTTGCCCCTTTAAATGCTCATAAGGTGTAACATATCGCATTTCTCCAAGATATGTGCAGAAGGTCTGTCATGCATTATAATAAATCATATGCTCGCACAGCTCAATGTATCAGTAGTGCTATAGTGAAGCAAGTAATATGATGTCGACAATAAAATGAAAATGATGATAACATGGCATGCGTATTGGCTATAATGAAATTAATAAATTACGTGCTAGTAATAATATGGTATTCGTGCTTCGAAGCAACAATATAGTGCATATGATATGGCAATGATATGTAGTGATACTGAGATACTAGTATTGCAATAGTCCCCCAAGTTTGAGTCTAATATTCATTTATGCAATGCGTGGACTTCAGTAAAGCCATTGGGTTGGGTAAAAATTGAAAGTAGAGGTGGTTGAGAAACCGAACCTGCGAGGCTTGTGAAGGCTAAATTGTGATGAAGCCGAGTTGGTTGTGAAATCGAACCTGCGAGGCTTGTGAAGGCTGAATTGTGATGAAGCCGAGGTGGTTGAGAAACCGAACCTGCGAGGCTTGTGAAGGCTGAATTGTAAGGCTCAAGCTGCTGAGGCACCTACTATCGAGGCACCTCCACCATTGACTGGGCTTAGTTTAGTTCACATTTCACTGTAATCTATCTTCATCACATGCTGTTTTTCTCCGAAGTGTGCTGGCCTCGTTAAGCAATTGAACTTAATGTTGATTGAAGAACTAAACAACTTTAACTTGGTACCTTAACTCCAATCACTTAAAACAACTGAATTGTATGCAACTTTCTTGAGTTATGACCAACATTACTTAAGTAAATGAACAACAGTGTGAGCCTCAAACTTAAGCAAATGAACTTTACTTAAGCATAATAACTGTAACCTGAAGGGATTCAATGAATGCTGTTGCAGTCGAACTTAAGCATAATAATTGTATGAGCCTCGGAATTCACGTGAAGTGGCTTCTCCCATTGGCGTTCAGCCTCGCCAGAAGGAGGCATGTGCTAGCACCTCGGAGTTCAAGCGAGGTGGCCCAGAGATGGGACGCGAGCCTCTCCTCCGAGGTGACGACGCATCCCAGACATGGTGAATGGTGCAGCCATGTTGGGGCTTCTCCCCTTGGCGCTCAGCCTGGCCAGAGGGAGGCATGTGCTAGCGCCTCGGAGTTCAAGCGAGGTGGCCCAGAGACTGGACGCGAGCCTCTCCTCCGAGGTGACGACGCATCCCAAACATGGTGGATGGTGCAGCCATGTTGAGGTAATATTAGCTCTCCGAAGATAAGTAGATGTAACATGGCTGAGGCAGAGGCAAAATTCTGAACTGAACAGCTGTACTGATAACGAAGCAGAGGCTGACTCTGAACTGAACATAATAGATGTACTGATACGATGCAGAGGCAGACTGAACTGAACGTAGATAGTTGTTATGTAGAGGCGTGATGACCTTTCTGAACATAAGCGGGGCTATAATGCAGTAATTCGTACAACAAGGCTTCTCATGAAGTGGTGAACAAATATCTAGCTGGTGACCCGTGATAGTGAAGGGTGAGGGATAATCATCTCACGAAGTTAGGAATAAGCATCTGGCGAAGCGGGGAATGGACATCCCGCGAATCACTCTCAAACTATCGGAGTCTTATAAGCAGCCTCGGACAAACGAGGTCTTATAACTAAGCTCAACGATAGTGAAATGTGAGGAATAAACATCTCGCGAAGCCAGGGATGAACATCTGGTGAACTGTCGAACTATCGGAGTCTTATAAGCTGGCCTCGGATAGACGAGGGCTTAAAGCTAAGCTCGGCGATAGTGAAACGCGAGGAAAAGACATCTCGCGAAGCCAGGGATGAACATCTGGCGAACTATTAGAGTCTTATAAGCTGGCCTCGAATAGACGAGGACTTAGAGCTAAGCTCGGCGATAGTGAGGCGGGGAATAAGCATCCCGCGAAGCCAGGGATAAACATCTGGCGAGGCGAGGAATAAGCAACCCGCAAATGAGGCCAAGAAAGGCTCCTTTTGCAAGGGCAAACACGTCTGACGATTTGCCTCTTCCTTTTTTCAAGGAACGAGGACTCCAAAATATACCACCTATTCCTTTATTCAAGGAGCGAGGTACTCTAAGATATGTTGCCTTTGATAATAAGATATTCACAAGCTAAGGCTCGTCTTAAATAAATAAGAAAACCACAAGTTCGGCTCGACTTGTCTCCAATGATAAGGAATTCATGAGCTAGGGCTCGTCTTGAGCAATTGCGATGATGTTTCAAAGATGCGAGGTCTTAGAACTTGCCTCGAGTAATAGAGATGATAGTCAAATGTGCCTTAAATAAGAGAAATCCCATGTCGATATATTTTTGAACACTTGGTGTGCTTATGACCTTTGTATAAGTTGTTGTTGATGTTTATTTGTAGCCTCCAAGTTATTTGAAACAATTGTGGCAACTCAGGTAGAAGGAAAAGAATCCAGAAGATGTGCCGAACTTGAAGAAAATAACTCACCAAATATTGTCCCATGT